GTTCGTCATCACCGCCGGCGCCGCAGTGCTTTATGGGAGTTTGTAGTTCCTTCGAGGAGCTCGGCGTGCCGGGCGGGCTGTCCCAGCGGCCCCAAAGGATAAAAGAAGACCCGCTGTGGACTGAGTGACCGGGTAGACTAGGCGTTTCCACCGGAGCTAGGCATGGAGGCAGGCTTTCAAACTCTGCGTGTCGCGCCGCTGGAACTTAACTTCGTCGTTTCTTTGTGTGCGGGCTTCTTTCAAACCCAGGACCGGAATCTGAGTTCCCTCATCTCTTCTGCGGCGAGCTGCAGCTGAGATGCTTGCTTTCCGTCACGCAGCCGAGGCGAAGCCGGTGGATTATCTGCAGAGTGCCTTATCTGGCTTCTCCAGGTCCTGCCCAGCACCACCTCTAAGCCCCCTCCCGCGGCCCCTCAGTTACAGAGCTCGAAAAGAATGATTGCCGTTCCAACTTGAACCCCACTCATGTTCTCTTCTTTACGCCTCCAGACCAGAGCAAAATACAATGGGTATTTTTAGAGACTCTGCCTTGCAGACCGCTCCTCTACCCCCGCGGGAGGATGGACAAAATATCTGGGAACTGCAAATTTTAAGGGTTGTGTTGCAGGTCTGTGTCCTATAAAACTACAAGCATTGTGCGAGGCAGGAATTATGACCATGGAATCTGGAGACTAAGATATGGATTTTGTCTTGTCTTAGCTGCTTAACAGCACACAGGCTCTCCACACCTCAGTTTTCTTATCTGTAAAGTGGGTATAAAACAAGCTGTTTCATGGGTTATAGGAAAATTAAATGAGCTACTGAATGTGAAAGTACTTTGAAATCCATGAGGCACTGTAGAAGTGTTAGTGATGTTAGTTACCTTCTTCAACCCTCAGTAGGCTCTCACTTAATGGGTAAGAAATGGGGGAGAAGCAGCATGCTGTTATACTCAGTTTAATCCTTTCTTTAATATCTTAGAGTATTCTGTAATTGTTTTCTGGATGTATGATTCAGATCTCTTTCACTCGCTAGGGGCAGAAACTCAATCAGATCAAACTCTCATGGGAGGTGGGGTGGCACGGGGCGGGGGTTGGAGCCGCGGGGGGAGGGGGAGGTGGGTTGCAGGTTTATTGACTCAGGCAAAGCAGAAGGGTAAGCAGATAGCTAAGGAGATTGGGGACCAGAAGCTCTATCCGTTCAGGGCTCTCTGCCTCTCATCTCTTTTCTCTTCTAATTTCTTGTATGTCAAATACCAACAACAATAATTTCTAAGAGAATAAAGGGATCCTGAGGCCAAAATATTTGAGAACCACAGTCTATGGTTCTTAAGTCTAAGGGAACTGGTGGACTCAACCATTAGTGAAATAAGGAAAAAAATTGGACAGTTAGTTGAACAAGGCAGCAGGCTTTTCTAAAACACATCTCGAGTGTCTTGTGATTTCATGTACAATGCCAGTGATATTCCACTCTTAGTCTTGTTGCGGCAGAAAATTCAATTGGCCCTGGTAGTCACTTTCGCATTATATGTGGAAAAAAGATGAAATGCATCCTTAACTCACACTGTTTGATCATACAGTACCCAGAGGGTTGCTGCTGTTGTCTAATTGCTAGAGCCCTCTTGATGGGAACAAAGCTCTAAGGTAGTCAAAGTCAGTTTCTGTCCCGTAATGAGGAAGGATTCTGCCCTCTGGCACAGGCTGAGCCTCCTTGCCCTAGCCAGTTCTTGGGCAAGTCTGTGAACTTGGCCTCAGCCCCGGCTGAACAAATGTGCACAGCTCAGTTCTAGACCTCCCTCTTCATTCTGGAAAAGAAGAAAAAGAAATTGTCAAAGGCCACGGGAATCTTTCTTTTATAAAATGTCTACTGATTAAAATAACTTTTAGTCTCACTACCTGTATGCAACTGTTGGCATTTTCTCTCTGCATGAGTAAGAACACACTATGTGGCAAAGAACTTACGTTCATAAGAGAAGCTAGGATTAGAAATTTTAGTCCCTAAGTTTCCCTAGGGGAATTTTATTAATTGATGGGAATTAAAAAAAATTTTTTTCTGTTTTGTTTTCACTCCCCTGGTTTTTTTTTCTGTTAGAAAGCACATATAACATTGGGACTTTCTAGCTTTTAAGTCTGTGCACCACTGTTGAACCAGTCAAGCATTTTGATATATTGACATTACTTCGAGAAGAATCCCATTTTTTTCCTTTTGTGAATTATGCGTTTCCATATTTTGTATAACATGTTAGAGATCAGATTTTGGTGGTAGTAACTCCTACTGAATCAAGGCATTTTGCTCAAAAGACTGGACAAGAAGTATATTTGTGGAGCCCAAGGTACCACACGTAACAGGAGGTGACTTTCTTTTCTTTCTCCAAGTGGCATGTTACTGAAGAAACCACATCAGTACTTTTTTGCCAGCTTCCCAAATCCACTGTTGAAATGTTACATCATTGCAGAACACAAGGCAGACCGGCATACTCAATTTGATTCTGTAAATGTTTACTGGAGCCTTTGATAAGGTTAACATGTACATAGAAGCTTGACTTACAGAAATCTAGCTGTCCAGGGAGTTTACTCTCTGTGGTTTTTGTCAGGCCAGCACTCCTTACTGCTTTTGGGAAGCTGTTCCTCCCTGACTAGTGTCTCTGAATCATGGTACTTTGCTCCTTCGGCCACAGAGGTGGGCATATGACCAGGCTGGGTCAAACGGAGTTCTTCCCCGAGAATTTCCTAATGAGGTGGAATGATGATGCTTAAAGGTCTGTCTGGCGTGAGGTCTGTGTGAGCTTCAGGCTGGTTTTGATCAGAGCTCTAGTTCGTGTTCCTGTATTCTCTTGTTGCTTTCCTTCTGTGTGTGTTTACTTTGTCCCCAGTCTGGCTTTCCTCATGGTAGCAAGTGCCATGCTGCACAATTCCAAGGGCCATAATTCACTTCTTAACAATAGTTTACTCATCTTGGGGGACCCCCAAGAATCTACAAACATATTCTTGAAGGTCTGTGTGTTCCCTAGGCAAATTTTCAAATTTACTCAAGCATTCTTTAACTGATTTAAATTGCTCCATGACACTTGAGTGTGAGGTGTCACCTTTCTTAATTGCTGAAATGAAATTAAATTTGGCTGAGACCTCTCTACCTGTCAAGGGTTGGCAAAACTGGTACCAATCATTACTGGGACTTTTCCTCTCCTTAATTGTATCCTATGAGAATTCACGTGCTTCTTCCATGGTCCTGAAAAATTAGGGGCACAGCAGCCTCTGTTATCAGTCTGCACCCGACAGTGCTGACGCTTCTGTCCAACCACCCTTGGGTTCTGGTCCTCGGCCATCTGCTGAGCACAGCTGTCCCGGTGGGCTACAAAGATGTCCTTCATGGTGATCATTTTCACTGACTGATGATTCAGCCATCGAATAAGTTCTCTCTCTGTTATCTACTAGTTTGTGTACTTCTTTGTCTTCTCCCTTAAAACTTGAGCTCTTTGAGGAAAGGGGCATGCTGATTTCTCACTGTATCATCAGCAATGCTTAGCAGGACACCTTACACATACACATAGTGGGTACTCAGTTAAGTTGTTGAACGAATGAATGAATGAACATCTGATTATCATGCCAGCAGTTTAGGAATTTTTTAAACATCTGAGACACCTTCAGTTTATTATTTGCTATGAGACCTGGGTATTTTTGGCCTCATCAATACCTTTCTGGTTGAACTCTACCTTGAATTTATGTGTTATTCATTCTGTAAGTACACTATTCATTGCTGTGTCTAAAAAAAAAATCAGTGTAATTATATAGTATTTCTCTGGCTTGTCAAGATCATATTGAATGATAACGCCTCAAAAATACCAATTTCTTTTATCAACTGTGTGTCATCCAAAAACATGTATTTGTTTAGTGATAACCCAGTGGGACAATTCTATAATTATCTTCATCAGAGAGGGACATACTGCACTCTTTCCACCCACTGATGTTTCCTGAGCAATCACTGGTTGAATAGTGTCCACTCAAACAAAAACTCATTAAGCTCAGACTATGAAACCAGCTCAGCAAGGCCACTGGGAATACCTTCGGACACAAAGTTGTCTATCATGTGGTCCCTGCCCTCAGTTTGCTTCCCAGATATTGAGGAGAGATCCCATAAGTGAAAAGTTCAGTGATAAATGGAAGGCAGATATTTGGCAGATATAAACGTCATTATTCCATAGGTCAAATGTCCATTCTGACTGGTTGGTTTTTAATTCGGACTGATCAGGCATCCATTCTGATTGGTTGGGTGTTCATTTTGATTATTTGGGTATATTTTCTGATTGGTCAGGCTTTCAGGCTTCCAACCTGATTGGTCGAATGTTCACGCCACACTGTTTGTTCAGTATTTTGCATATTACCACTGCATGCAAAAGTTAAATTAAAATGCTATGATTTAAAAAACTAAAAAATAACAAAAAAATTTTTTTTAAAATTTTGAATGGCATGCTAGTACAAAAACTTGCTATATGAAATTTACTCTATTATAGGGTGGACTGGAAGGAATCCATTCTAATACCTCTTATATTATTTGTTTCTCTGATAATAAAGTTTTTGACAATAAAATGTATTTCTAAATTCATTCCTTCATTAACCTAGGCATTGCTATATCGGATTTTGTGTCAAATAAGGCAAATACATACAGTAAATATTATGTGTCTGGGGTTGAGATTCTTATAATATTGAGTGATTACAGACACAGAAAACAAACTTATGGTT